CCTGGGAGCCAGGATGCCTGGGTTCCCTCCCCAGCTCTGGGAGGGGAGTGGGGGCTCGTGGGTTAGAGGCAGGGGGGCGGGGAGCCCGGATGCCTGGGTTCCCTCCCCAGCTCTGGGAGGGGAGTGGGGGCTCGTGGGTTAGAGCAGTGGGGGGCTGGGAGCCAGGACGCCTTGGTTCCCTTCCCGGGTCTGGGAGGGCAACTGGCAGAGTTAGCAGAGAGGAAATCTCCATGGGGCAGGATGGGGGCAGGGTCCAGCCTGGGGGGGGGGGGAGGGGCTGTGCTGTGAAGGGGACCCCAGGCCCCCTGGGCGCTGCCCCAACAAACCTTGTGTGCGGGGCCGTCTCCTCCAGCAGCAGGGGCTTGATGTCAGCAGTGCAGGGGGGCAGGGTGGGGGCCAGCAGGGCTGGCAGACTGGGGCTGGAGAAGACCTCGCGCAGGAACTCCTCATTCCTCCTCGCGGCCCCCCGGAGCAACTCCTCCGTGCTGCAGGGACAGGCAGGGTCAGCCAGGACTCCTGGGTTCCCTTCCCGGCTCTGGGAGGGGAGTGGGGGCTAGTGGGGTAGAGCGGGGGGACATTTAGTCAACGAATGGCTTCGCAGGTGGTGTCGGAGAGAAGGCTTTGGCTTCTTTGACCATGGGATAGTGTTTCAAGAAGAAGGAGTGCTAGGCAGAGACGGGCTCCACCTAACGAAGAGAGGGAAGAGCATCTTCGCAAGCAGGCTGGCTAACCTAGTGAGGAGGGCTTTAAACTAGATTCACCTGGGGAAGGAGACCAAAGCCTGAGGTAAGTGGGGAAATGGGATCCTGGGAGGAAGCACAAGCAGGAGAGCGTAAGAGGGGAGGACTCCTGTCTCATACTGAGAAAGAGGGACGATCGATGAGTTATCTTAAGTGCCTATACACAAATGCAAGAAGCCTGGGAAACAAGCAGGGAGAACTGGAAGTCCTGGCGATTGGAATAACAGAGACTTGGTGGGATAACTCACATGACTGGAGTACTGTCA